TGTTTTATTTTGCATTTCCCTAAATCACTGGGGAAATTGAATGAGCATCATTTTACATGTTGATTGGTCATTTGTATTTCCCTTTGTCAATTAATAGTTTGTTTCTCATTGAATTGTAGAAGTTCCTTTTACATTTTAGAAAAAATATTTGTGTTATTATGTGGGTTGCAAATATTTTTCCCCATCTCTAGCTTGTTTTTAATTTTATTTATGATATATAAAAGTACTAGGCTGGGGATGTGTTTCACTGGTAAAGCACTTGCCTAGCATGTGTGATTCCCTGAGTATAATCCCAGCAGCTCAGGAGGCTGAGGCAGAAGGAACTCAGATCAGCCTCAGGTAGCAAGGCCCTAAGCAACTTAGTGAGACCTTGTCTCAAAATAAAAATAAAAAGAACTGAGGATGGGGCTCAGTGTTTAAAAGTCCCTGGGCTCAATCCCCAGTACTAAAAAAATAATAATAATTAAAAAATAATGAAAAGTATTTTTTAAATGAATTTACATTTGTCTTTTCTTCTATGACTTTTGGGTTTTGTATCATGCCTGGAAAAGATTCTCTACCCTCAAAGTTATAAAAATATTCTCTGACACTTTTTCCTTACTTTTTTTTCTCCCTACATTTTTAGAATTTGTTTTTAGTCCAACAGGAATCTATTTTTGTGGGTAGTGTTTGTGTGAGAGGGTCCCATTTTGTTTTTTTCTAAACAGATGGCCTGTTTTCCCAGCATCATTTTTTTGAATAGTCCATTCTTTGCCTGCTTACTTACATATACTAAATTTCCATGTAAATATGGATCTGATCTTGGACTCAATTTTTTGTTCTATTCTTCTTTTTGCTATCCTGATGTCTTCATATCCTTACTTCACTTTCACTCAGCAATCATGGAAATCTAGCTTATACCTACAATTCCCCTGGAATGATTACTGCTACATGTACTAATGACCTTCATATTGCCAAAATTTTCATATTATCAAAATAAGAAAACTCTTTGGTTCTTATTTTCCTGGTTAATAATTCTCTCCCATATGCTACATAATACCCCCCTCCATTCCTCTATCAATAAAAATCATGGTCAGAACTGAGCACAGTAGCGCACACCTATAATCCCAGCAACTTGGGAGGCTGAGAGGAGGATCACAAGTTTGAAGCCAGCTTCAGCAACTTAGGAAGACCTTATCTCCAAATGAAAAATAAAAAGGGGGGCTAGGAATGTGGCTCAAGCGGTAGCGCGATCGCCTGGCATGCGTGTGGCCTGGGTTCGATCCTCAGCACCACATACAAAGATGTGTCCGCTGAAAACTAAAAAAATAAATATTAAAAAATTCTCTCTCTCTCTCTCTCTCTCTCTCTCTCTCTCTCTCTCTAAAAAAAAAATTATAAAATAAATAAATTTTAAAAAGGGCTGAGGATGTAGCTTAGTAGTAAAGCACCTCTGGAATCAATCCCCAGTACTACCAAAAAAAATCATGATCTTAACAATACCTGTGTTCTTAGGTAGTTACTCAGAGTCAGGCACTGTTTAAGTATTTTTTTATGCCATACGTGTCAAGCATGCTTCATCATAGCCCTCTAAGGTAAGGATTATTATCATCATCATCCCCACTTTACAGGTGATTTGAAAACTGAGACTATAAATTTAAGTACCTTGCTCCAGGTCCTTGGGTAATATGACAATAGGGGATTTGAACCCAGGTCTGTCTGACACAAAGCCTAGTAAGTTCCTAGGTACCCCATCTTCAGCCTATCTTCGCAGTCTCCACCATTTTGGGGGTGGGGGGGTACTGGGGATTAAACCCAGGGGCTCTCTACCACTGATTCTTTTATTTGGAGATAGGGTCTTGCCAAATTGCCACAATTCAGACTTGGGATCTTCCTGCCTCAACCTCCAGAGTAGCTGGAATTACAGGCGTGCACCACTGTGTGTGGTTCCAGCATTCTTTAAATGGTAGCTTTCCAAGGATCCAGTCTTAGTTGCTGCTCTTCCCATCTTAAGCATGTACCTGGATAAAGCAGGGCATTCTGATGCACTGTTTCAATGCAGCTGCACTGACATATCTGTGCTAAAATGGCCCTGGCGGCATGTACAAAACACTGCTTTTTATTACAAATCCCTGTAACTCTTTCCACCCTGCTTCCCCAAATTCAGGGAAGCTTTTCATTTCTACATATTTGATTTTGTTTAGTTTGATTTTTATGAGTATGTATCATATTTATAATCAGGGAAAATAAGAATTTTTTAAAAAATATAATGAAAGGATATTAGCCTCTAAGGGGCGGTATCCATTCAGCCCTTTTAAGCCATCATTATTAAAGCATTGTCCACTGTTAGGTACACATGTAACTGAAAGAACTGTGAGAAATTTAATTGAGCTGGGTGACATTGTGCATGACTATAATCACAGCAACTCAGAAGGCTGAGGCAGGAGGATTGCAAATCTAAGGCTAGCCTCAGCAACTTAATGAGGACCTAAAAAATAAAATGGGCTGAGTATGTAGCTCAGTAGCCGAGCATCCCTAACCCCCTCCCAAAAAAAAAAAAAAGAAGGAAGGAAGGAAGGAAGGAAGGAAGGAAGGAAGGAAGGAAAGAGTTTAATTAAGGAGTTCCTGAAAAATCTGCCCTGAGATTAAGCACTCAAGATTGTGACCCAAATATATCCCCTTTCCCTCTGGGTCTAATTTATTCTCAACCAAAGAAGATTAGCACAATAAACAAGCCTGTAAAAAAAACAGATGTGTCCTTCTTTTAGAATTTTAAATGCAAAACAGAATTCACTCCAAGTTTTAAGAAGCTATGTCTATTTATTCAGTGTAAGGACAGGAGTATGGCTGTTGTAGCTTTAAGGGAGAAACAGGAGAATTTAAGATACAGTTCACCTAAGAAGCAAGAGAATCCTCAAAAGATGAGCAGATACTACTCAAAATGATAAATTATATTTTCTGAGATGAGCACATGTGATAGCCACATGACTTCTGGTTAAAACCAGATGGTGCCCAACCCACACCCTCTACCAGACCCTAGCCCTCATCACTAAGTGTCACCCCACCCCTCACTCACACACATTCTCGAATCATTCATTCTCACCCAGCTCTCCTCCTACCTCTCCTGTTTTGCCCCCTTTCAGGGTCTTTTCCTTAATCTGTAAAAACTGAAACTCCTAGCCCAGCATCCTTCTAGTTCCACTCTGATTCCCGGGCAATCTTACACATGTCCACTGTTGGAACGTAACACATACACCCTGATAAGCCAAATCTATATTTCCAGCCTAGACTCTCTTTGGACCTCCAACTCTGTATACTGCTTAACACTGAAGGCTATAATGTATCTGGATATTCCACAGAAAGGTCAAACTGAACATGTCTAAACTGAATTTATAGCTAATTATCTTAAAACCTGGCTCTCTAATCTTCTCTATCTTATGAATACCACCACCATTTATCTAGTCTCCAAAGCCAGAAATTCAGGCCTCATTCTAAATTCTTCTTTTTCCCTTCACAACCCCACATCAAAGTTCTATCAAGTTCCTTTAATTTTACCTATTCAATGTTTATCAAATCTTTCTCCTGTTCCCTACCTCAGCAACTATTTCCCCTTTGCCTCAAACTCATTGGTACAACAATCCCCTAATATTTCTTCATATTATCCCAAGGGACTTGTTTCAAAGGCCAATCAGACTACATCATTCTACTTCTCTCTCTCTCTTTTTTTTTTTGGTACTGGGGATTAAACCCAGGGGCACTTAACCACTGGACCACTGAGCCACATCCCCAGCCCTATTTTGTATTTTATTTAGAGACAGGGTCTCACTGAGTTGCTTAGCTCCTTGCTGTTGCTAAGGCTGACTTTGAACTCATGATCCTTCTGAGCCACTAGGATTACTAGTGTGTGCCACCACACCCAGCTCAATCTACTTCTTAAAAGCTTGCAACAGGGGCTGTGGCTGTAGCTCAGTGGCAGAGCGCTTGCTTAGCACATGTGAAGTACTGGGTTCAATCCTCAGCCCCACATAAAAATAAATAAAAGGTATTGTGTACATCTACAAATAAAAATATACTTTAAAAAATCTTTCTATGGCACCACATTTGTACTTTCTATAACTCCCTTTGGGATCTGGTACCCTCTTTCTTCTTCAGGCTCATTTCCCCTATTTTTCTCTAGTTCATTCCAAACTGGTAGCCCAAGGGCAGACCAGAGTTTGAAGGGCCCTATGTTTACACAATTTAAAGGGCCCTCCAAGAATAATAATACAACCCTATGAGTAAAAATTAGTCACAGGGCCTTGGAAGGGGCCTGTGATGTGAGGGCTCTGAAGCTTAAGCTTCATCAGCTTCACAGTTACTTTGCCTCTGTCTAGCCAAACAGAGCAAGCTGCAGTTCCCTAGAATATATAAGAATCCTCTGCAACACTTTACCTTTGCACAAAGTTACCTCGGCCTGGAATGCCCTTCTCCCCCAATCCTTGCTTGTCTGGCAAAGCAGTTTCTCCTTCAAGAGACAGAAGAGGGAGCACATGCTCTGTTGCCTGACCTTCCCACATGGAACTGTTCTCACCTTTGTGGTCTCACTGAAACTTGTCCTTTACCTCTCTGTACCCTGTCCTTTACAGAACATACCATTCTGCATGGAAATTATTTGCTTAAAACTGGTCTTGCCCATGTGCACCTCAAGGGCAGAGACAAAGTTATTCCTTTTCAGATTGTCAGAGCACAGCAGTACCTGGCACAAGGTAGTAGCTCCATAAATGTTTGCTAAATGGCATCAAGACCTCCACCCCATACACTGGGAAAACATTCTTCCTTTGGCAAAGCATATGGAGTGGAACAGTTACTATAGATAAGGACCGTGGGCAGGGGCAATGCTTGTGAGGAGCCTGCCATCTGCCCACTCCATTCTGAAAGAGGCTGGGCCCCAGCATGTATGCTTTCTCCAAGACGCCCATGGAAAGTTCCTCCTTGTGCCTCACCCCCACCAACCTTCCCACCCCACTCACTGCCTTCCTTACCTGTCTTCCTTGTTGATCTGGTCCCCAAAGCCTACTGTGCTAACAATTGTGAGCTTCAGCCCCACGTTGCTCTCTTGGAGGTCGTAGGTATTGGACCGGAGCTGGACACCAGGCTGCGTGTGGGTGGCTGGCTCCCCCTCAAACTTGGTATTGAATAGGGTATCCATGAGGGTGGACTTGCCCAAACCTGTCTCTCCTGAAAATTGAAAGAATAAATTAGGGTCCATTCACACAGTGATTATGCAGATATCTACTTACTAACATGGGAAATAAACATGACAAAATAGTAAGTGAACAATAAATAGAAGTACATAGACTGTATGAGCTCAGTTACATCAAAAAGACCTAAAGGAATGTGCCCCATAGCAAGAATAGTCATTTCACAATAGTGGAATTGGGGGAATTTTCATTTTATTCTTTTTTCCTGTTATTTGAAATTTTTATCTTGAGTATGTATTGCTTTTATAATCAGAAAAAGTAATGCTATAGGTACAGATGGAGAGAGATTGTTATCCCTAGAAAAGGGCTGGAAAGAAATACAATAGACTCTTACCTATGGTTTTCTCCAGGTGGTGGGATTATGTGTGGCTTTCATTTCTTTATGCTTTTCTGTATTTTCCAAGTTGCCTAAGTGGAACATGTGTAAATTTTTTTTCTTTTGGCACTGGAGATTGAACCCAGGGCATTCTACCAGAGAACTATTCCCCCAGCCCTTTTGTTTTTAATTTTGAGACAGAGTCTTGCTAAACTGTCCAGGCTGGCCTCAAACAGGCAATCCTCTTGTCTCAGCCTCCCAAATTGTTGGGATGACAGGCATGCACCACAGCTCCCAGCTATTGTTTTTATAATAAAAACTAAAAGATTATTTTAATTTTTTTTAAAAGGAACACAATCCCTTGTCAAACAAATATCATCCCCACCCAGACTCTGTCTGCCTCATCTCCCAGAGAGGCCCAGAGCTCTGTGGGTGTCCTGGATGTGTCTTCCGGTGGGGTGGGGTGACTGTGGATCTTTCCTTGGTTTTACCATCCTCCCAGCCAGGTTGAGCTTTCAGTAAGACAATTTTTAGCTAATGGAGAGGGAACTTCACAGGCCACAAATTATTATTCTCCTTAAATATAAAATAAACCAGCCACTTATTTCTTTAACTAACAGTATGAGGGATACTAATAAATTAAGCTATTGGAATTCCAAAAGTCTTGAATTTCACACTAGGGAGATGAAGGGGGAAGGGCTATGGCAGACTGGTAAAGTGCAGAAAGGTTACTCCTGGGAGACTGGGGGATATCAAGCTGCTACCTCAAGCCAAGACATCTTTAGGGAATGAGACATCACAAGAAGCCATAAGCTGTGGGGGAAGTTGGTAAAATGGGGTTTAGGCAGGAATCTGATATGAAGCCACAAGCAGGGTTAGGCACTAAAACCACTTATAATCTCCATGGATCCAGACTGTATTTTGTTCCCCCACCTCACCCCAAACAATTCAGGAATCCCAGGAATAAAAGCCAGTATTTAATTACTGGAAGTGCCCTTTGAACACCTAAGACCACCCTATTACTTTGCTAGCATCATCCCACTTCTTTCCATCTACCTCCCCAACCTGGGGGCGGGCAAGCTCTGACTTCTCCTCACAGTCTGAAGTGAGTTTATACTGGGCACATTCTGGCCTGGCAGATCTCCCCTTGGGACCAACAGCACACATTTGCAAGATGTCCTGGGCTTGGGTTAGAGCTGCATGATTGGAAACCAAAAATGCTCCATCTCCTCTCCACCCTCTGGGTGTGTCTAGCTTTGTATCTTCCAAGCCTTTTTATGCTGAATAATGAGCTATGAAATGCAGGAGGTGCTTGATGCAAGCTTTCAATGGGGATGGCGGAGAGAAAGATAGAACAAGAACATTCAATTCAGCCTAGTTATCAGATCCCTAGCCCAATTTCATAGCCAGGTCTGACTAATATGGTGGATTGCCAGGGGTGCAGAAAAAGTTGCTCACACTGATCATGTTTCCAGGCAGGGTCTCTGCTATACCCATTAGCATCAAAGACTCTCCAAAAAAGAGGCCCCTTTGTTTTCCTCCCCTAAAGGAACAGGTTAGTTTTGAGGCCCCAAGGAAAATTGGGAAGGTGGGGTCTTTGCCATGGGAGGCAGCAGAATTGGGCAAGCAGCAGAAAATATCACCCCCACGCTATCCAATGTATGGATGTAGCTCAACTGGAAATGAGGCCAGCACCTCTGAGGTGGGAACGAAAGAGTGGCTGCCTCATTCTAACTTCCCTCCCCTCTGGGGACTGAGGTTTGAGGTACATTTTAGCCTATCTTTGTACCTGCCTAATGAATTTTCCAGGTCCACCCCTCTCCCACCCCCTCTTCTGTCCCTCCAGCTCCTTGCTGAATGCTCTGCAGCTCCTAGACAATGATAGGTCCCATCTCCCTAGCACCCATGGTGGGCTGGCTGGCTCCCACATCCCAAGAATTCTCAAAGAGAAATCTTCCTGTACTCACAAGAGTACCTACTCCTGGCCTCTGCAGCTCGAGGGACCCACCCTGTTTACACAGCTGGAGAGATGGGGGCCAGGCAGGGCAGGGCAGGGCAGGCAGCAGGGAGGATCAGCAGGGAGATGACCACCCAGATGCCTGCCAGCACAGAAGCGTTGTGAAAATTAGATACCAAATAATGAAGGTCTGGAGGAAAAGAACTCACGGGTGTCTAGGGAATCACAATAAATGCAGATTAAAAGAGGGCAGAAAATCAAGCCAGCTCTCTTTGTGACTATCAAGTACTCTCTTCCAGGTCACCATCAGAGCCTGGGGGTGGAGGGAGGCTCTCCCTCAGTGGCTGGCACAGACCCAGGCTGAGCCTAGGATATAGTCCCCTCCCATGGAAGCCCTAGGCCCAGTATTGGGAAGGTTGCTAACTGGGATCAGGCAGCAGATTCCAAGCCCCTGCAGGAAGATGAGATTTTGGCAGTTAGATTCCAGAAGGAAACCTGAGGAGTCCTGAAGGGTCCATTGCCCCCTCCTTTCCCTAGCCCTCCCAGAGCATCTCACAGTAGATAGTAGGGTTTATTAATATTTTTATTATTTTTATTTTTTAGTTTTATGTTGACACAATATCTTCATTTTATGTTTATGTGGTACTGAGGATCAAATCCAATGCCTCACGCATACTAGGCAAGCACTCTACCACTGAGCCACAACCCCAGCCTCTATTAGCCCTTTTTAACTCATGTTCCATCATTCAAGAAGATTTTGTCTCATGTTGCTTAATGTAGATAGTATTCTAGAGACAACAGTTTTTTTAAATAAATTAATTTGATAAATTAATTTAAGGCATGTAGAATGAAACATGCTTTTTCAAATTATATTCCCTGAGACAATCTGATGTTGATCTCCCCATCCTGGGTTAAAAGCCACTGTGATAAAGAAAAGTTTAGGGGCTGGGGATGTGGCTCAAGCGGTAGCGTGCTCGCCTGGCATGCGTGCGGCCCGGGTTCGATCCTCAGCACCACATACCAACAAAGATGTTGTGTCCGCCGAGAACTAAA